TTACTCTTTTGTTTGTATTTAAATGCAAACTCAACTTGATACTTATTTTATAATTATATATATCAATAGAGTTGGAGTTCCTAAAGTTTAAAATATGGCAGTGATTATCACTCAGCCACATTGAAAGATTCTGAAATATAGCCAGTGCTACCATTTAATGAATATAGAACTTAAGTGGAAAACTAACTTTTCTAAAATAGGAAGGTACTATAATTGTATTTACTTGCTTTAGGAAATAATTCTTCTCATTATAAATATTGAAGACTGGAGCATTAGACATCATTATACCATTTCAATCTTTAGCTAAAATGATTTTCTTTCAAAATAAAATCATGTCTAATCAAACTTTTCTCTGACTTGGTTTGGCAGAACAGTATATTTTGTGCTTTTTTTATTTACTTTTAATTTCTTTTAACATTATTTTTCATACAATGTTTTTGATGTTTTGCATTTTCCTTCATCTCCTCCAAGATCCTCTCCATATCCTAACCCACTCAACTTCATGTTCTTTCTCTCTCAAAAATAGACGAACAAACAAAAATTAAAACCAAAAACTGACTAAGACAAAAAAATTCCAAAACAAAACAAAACAAAACAAATGAAACAAAAACTTCACCAGAAAACCATGGGAATTTGTTTTGTGTTGGCCAATTACTCTTGGGCATGGGGCCTACCCTGGAGTGTGGTTGATATATCCAGATGACACTCCATTGGAAAAAACTGGTTAAAAACTGGTTTTCTCTTTCTCAATGGGTATCAATTGCAAATAGGTTCTTGATTAGCAGCAGGACCCAGTGTTCTTTTCTCACTGTCAGTTCTAGGAATCCATCTAGCTTGAACATGTATAACTCCTAGGCATGCTGTCAAAGTCTCTGAGTTCGTATGTGCATAAATCCTGTTGTTTCTGCAAGATACTGTTTCCTTGCAGTCATCCACCACCTCTGGTTTTTACATTCTTTCTGCTTCCTTTTCTACAATATCTCTAAGCCTGGAGGGAAGAGGTTTGATGAAGACATCCCATTTAGGACTGAGTTCTCCAAAATCTGTCATTCTCTACATGCTGTTCAGTAGTGGATATCTGTGCTTCTTCCTAGAAGAAGCTTCTCTGATAAGTGTTGACTGAAGCACTGATATTTAGGCATATCAGTGTGCCATTAGGAGTCATTTTATTGCTATGTCCCTTTAGTAGAATAATAGCAGTAGGATTTTCACTAGGCCTGTGACCTATCTATATCTAGTCTTAAATTTTTGGCCACTTTAGCAGTGTTAAGTATGGCTTCTTGTAAAAAAGTGGCTGGTAACTCTCATAACATTTTTTCTACTAATGTATTATTATGTCTTAAGGCAGGTCACTGTTGTAGGTCACATGTTTTGCTAGGTAATATTGATTATTACTTTTCACCTCTGGTAGTATGCTGAATTTGCTCGTAGCACCATGAATGATGGTCAATAGCAGGGAATCTTCTAGTTAGGCACCAAGGCTAATTCTTCCTGTTCAATGACATAAGTAAGTGTTGTCTTCAGTTAATAGGGCCTTATCATCAGGTTGTTGAAAGAACCAACCAATATCCTCAAAAATAGCCTGTGGCTGGGCATTGGTGGTGCATGCCTTTAATCCCGGCACTCGGGAGGCAGAGGCAGGCAGATCTCTGTGAGTTTGAAGCCAGCCTGGTCTACAGAGCCAGTTCCAGGACAGGCTCCAAAGCAATACAGAGAAACCCTGTCTCGAAACACCAAAACAGAAAAAAAAATAGCCTGGGATATTTGGAGGATCCATGATACTTCTTTGGCCAATGACTCAACAAATGTAACCTATTCCTGCCACTGGAGGTTTTACTTGGTGGCATAAGTTGCCTAGTTGGAGCATTGTCTCCATTATATGGTTACATTTTGTATTTTAAATTTATCAACCATCCACCAAGGTTGTAATTATTTTTGACAGAGTCATAAGGATTCTTAGTTTACACTTGTGAAGAAGGGTGCTTTCTAGGAAGGAGTACCATCATTCCTTTGTAACATGCTCACTTCAGATGGCAAATGTCATACCAGTAAAAATGGCTGCTGTGATGTTACAAATGGAGGTAGAAATTTAAATGAGCATTCACTGGAAGCACATTGGAAAGTTTTCCTTCCTTCCTTCCTTTCCTCCCTTCTTTCTTTCTTTTCGTTTTACAAAACAGTACAGAAGATGATGACTATATGAACAATTACAATATCAAGAAATTATGTCAATTTGTTTTTCCCAGTAAAATTTCCAGAAACCAGTCCATATCCCTGAGAAGTATTGTATCACAAATAGAAATTACTACAGAAAAATGAACAGCAAGGTTCATGTTTGCTACAAAATTGACATTGGCATTTTCACAATAAACTTGTAAACAATTCATTTTATTACAAATAAATAAACAATAAATCATCCCCCTGAGAAGCGGTAAAGAAAGTTTGCATTCCTGCTTTTGGCAAGAGCCAACCCAAACTCTTCCCAGGAAATTTCTTAATGACACAAGGGAAATGGCAAAAACCACAGTGGAAATAGGAAATACCATTAGTATTTCTGTTACAAACTCTTTACTACTTGGAGAAACTTGAACAAAGCATGTTAGTTAGCCCTACAGTATAGCTTCCTTGATTTATCTTGTTTCTCTGATAATCTCTTGGTTCATGGATCTGTTAATTATTTTGGCATTCAAATAAGGGCTGATTAGAATAGATATGGTATGGTTTATTTTTAATATGCCATAATGGAGCAGAAAATAACAGTTTTAGAGGCTCATCTACTTTATGAAAAGCACATTTAGCTTTGATTTTGCCATTAGATCTCACACTATCATTTCAATATTCAGCTAACACAATCTAAAGTGATATTATTTTATACTAGAATAGAACTTCAAACCTATACAACTATCATTACAGAAACAGTAATCCTTTTTATTTCTGATCTAGTGTATTTAATATTGATAGCACATGATTCAACATTTCATGATTCATTTATTGCTTTCCTTGTTTTGTTTTGCAAATATGCTAGGTACATTTTAAATTCCTGTTATAAAGTTTAGACATGTCCTTTTAGACATGTCCCTTTGTCCTTCTGCAGGTAGCCACATCCTGAGTAATCCTTCTGAAACAAGGTCACCTTTCCTTTGTGCTGTAAACTTGCTTAACAAGCAGCCTGGAGTGGAGGCTCTTTTCTCTATGTTCTTGTAGAACTTACTACTTGCCTTAGCCATCTGTTTCTAGTTACTTTGTATCTGTTTATTTCTTATTTTTCCAACTAAATCCTGAGAAAATTCTTGGAGGCAGAGATTATTTGCTACATATTTTTATGTTCCTGACACTTTGCCTAATGTCATATAAATTTTAGATTATTTACAATTTATCTGTATTCCTGGTTGCATACAAAGCCCACATATTGATTTGAGTAGTAAAGAATGAGTCGGCTGAATATTTACCTATGACTAGATCAGGACCCAAAATTTGTCCTCTTTTGATTATTATCTGTCCTTTCATATTTATTACTTTTGCCTATTCTTCACCTTGCCTTAATTTTCATGTAGGAACTTCCTAAATAGTGCCCTACAGAAGAGGGTGTACTGCTTTTTCAGTAGCCTCGAAGTTCACAGTTGATGTTCTCCAGCTTTAGTGCCTAGTTCTGTGCTGTGTGCTTATAGACTAATCACAGTTGTCAGAAGGTTGATCCATGCTGGTTGGGTCAACCATTCCACTGGTGGGCTCACTACCAATGTATGTATCAAGGTTGGAGAAGGAAGAACTAATTGTCCAAAGAAAATAAATGAGCTCTCATGACATCTGTATGGGAAATAAGCACCATATAGGCAAAATAGAGATGCTCACCAGAGAGCTTATGAAATACCTGGTGATTGATTACCATTTGGGAAGATATTAGCCTCCTGCATCCAAAAAACTGTATGGTCAGGGTAGCACTTCCCAGTCATTGTTAGGGTGGGTGATAGTACGACTTTTGAGGTCATTTCCCCATTCATATGTTGCCAGCATCAGAAAGATATTACTCTTGAGAGTGATAAGTTTCCAGACATCTGAATGGGATTTATTAGAAGACTGTTACTCTTGAGAGTGGATGATAAGTTTTCAGACATCTGTGTAGGATTTCAGAGTTCCTTGGTGGCAGAGTGAACAGAACAGCAATCATATCTCTCTTTGTGGTTTGTAATGGTGTTGGCCAGAGGATCTTATGGTGAAAGGAAGTAGTATCATTAACCAATTAAGTCTCAAATCATGTATCTCTGCTTTGGATTTCTTCAGTGAGAGCTATGTTGACTCTAGAGGTTTTGCTCAATCCCCTTTTTGTCATAGTAGGGATCACATTGGACCTTGCAGAGGCCAAGGTTATGATTAAGATATGTATACTAAGTTGGCAGGCAGAGTTTTTGACTACCTATTTTGTGCATGGAGAAATAAGATGAGAGATAATTGAAAATACCTTAAGTCCTGTATTAAATAGCTTGATTGAGACTCAGCCAGTAGTGATCTTAAAGAAAATGAACAAATAAATTAGAATTTTTATATAGGAAGTGCTTGTAATATAGGAAAAATATCAAGAAGCTATTCAGTAAATACTTACCTGTTGATAATGAAAACCTCTTTCAAACAGGAATCAAGTTCATATTGAGTGTATAATTTTCATTGGCATCCCTATAAATTTTTATCATTTAAATTTTGTTTAGTGTAAAATATGCCTTTATCAGATGGTTAAACTTGTTTATGTGTGGTAAAAGAATAAATTACCTATAAATGGAACAGTGTGTCATTTAAAAGTCAATGTTCTAAAACTTCTGACAAAAAGAACTAGAGAAACCAGGCTCACTGATGCTTGCCTGTGATCCTGGAATTTAGGAGGTAGATGCAGTAGAATCAGGAGTTCAAGGCCATCCTCAGCTTTCTCAAACACTAAAGAAAATAATCCCACTCCTAACTGTACTTCTTGGGAATATCTTAATTTGACCATTCATCTTTCTTTTCAGAACTGGAAGATAAGCAGAAACCTACAGCTGATACCTCTTCGAATATTACTTTGTTCCCACGAATGCTTTAGACAGCGTGGTCGTAATGTCTTTGGAATTGCTCAAGAGTAGAGCTGGTGAGATACTCCTTCACAGCCTCACTGGGTCAGTTGTCTGCTCTGCACAAGGCCAGCTCAGCCC